CGCCGCGCCGCGCGCCGCCCGCCGCAGCGCGTGCGCCCCGTCGTCCCCCGCGAGATCGGCGGCTCGGCTCGCTCGGCTCGCTCGCTCGGCACGCTCGCTCCCCCCGCTGCGGGCCTCGGGGGGGGGGGGGCAGGGGAGGGGGGGGAGAGAGGAGGGGGGGAGAGGGAGGAGCAGGGAGGGGGGAGGACAGGAGAGGAGAGGCCAGGGAGGAGGAGGGGGAGGGGGGGGGGAGGAGGAGGGAGGGGAGGAGGCAGGGAGGAGGAGGAGGAGGAGGAGGAGGACGAGGCAGGCAGGAAAGGGACGAGGAGGAGGAGGAGGAGGAGGAGGAGGAGAAGGAGGGGGGAGGAGGAGGAGAGGGAGGAGACGGGACGGGATCGGAGGGGATGCGAAGGCAGGGAAGGGGGAAGGTGAGGGAACGGGAGAGGCGGGGAGGAGGCAGGGAAGAGAGGGAGGGAGGGAGGAAGGGAAAAAGAGAGGGGGGGGGGCAAACGAATAGCATGCACACAGTAGCATGTCCCCCCCTCCTGCTGACGAGCTTCTGGAAGGTGCTGTTGGCCAGCACCTTCTTCTTCATCTGGGCAAACTTGTAGTCAGCGTTGTCTTTCAGCTGATCGACCTCTGTCCGAGGGTAGCTGTTTGAATGAGGCGATGTTGACCATGGAGTCGAGGAGTAAAGCCTCTAAAGAAATAGCTAGGAGCCATCTGCCCTGGATAATCCACCACCGTGCCTCTGGCACGAAGTGGAGTGCCCCAAGGCTCACAGCTGTGCTGCTGCTGCTGCTGCCAAGACTGTGCTCACAGCTGTGCTGCCGCTGCAGCCAGCGTTGCAGTTTCTCAAGGGCCCAGACCACCAATTTCCCGGGCGCTCTTGGCGCTCCTGGGGTGTTTCGCATGACCTCCGGGACGGACGCAACGCCCCAAACCTCCCGCAGACTTTCGCGGAGCTCCCCACCGTGCGTCCAAGACGGTCAAGGAGCGCCTCTTGACGGCCCAAGATGGTCCCCAGACGGCCCAAGAGGCCTCCACGTTGCCGCAAGAGGCCTCCCAGGAGGGCCCCAAGAGGCAAAAATCATAGGTTTCCCATTGGTTTTTTTCAAGTTTTTGGGGTACTTGCGTTGTCGACTTCCCGACGCTCAGTCCCCCAAGATCGCCCCAAGACGGCCAAAGAGGCCCCCAAGACGGCCACAAGACAGGCCAAGGGGGCTCTAAGACCCTCCAAGGCCTCCAAAACGGCCCAAGAGGCCTCCAAAATGGCTCACACAGGGGAGCCAGACAGGATCCCCCAACGGACATTTCGAGCCCGCGGCCCGAAGAAGCCCCAGGAGGCCTTACGAGGCCTCCAAGAGGTCCCCAAGAGGCCCCAGGAGGGCCCCAAGAGGCCTCCAGGAGGCCTCCCAAGAGGGCCCCAAGAGGCCTCCCAAGAGGCCTCCCAAGAGGGCCCCTCAGACCACTAAAGTAGCACTACTTCCAAAAGATGTGCGTGCTGGGCAACTCGCTGAGAGATCTCGATCGGTGTGTGCGTGTGTGTGTGTGCGAAAGTCTGGTTCGAGAGCTTGGCGGGTGCAATGAATAGTGTTACTTGAGAACTATTATAAAGGCGGCGTGCCGAAATCATTGAAGATTGTATGTATGACGCACTAAAGCGTCATGGTGTGCGCGGCCCACCATAAGATTCCAGACGTCCCTGGAGAATGGCCTGAGAAATCCCCGGGACGGTCCAAGATGGCCCAGGAGGGTCTTTAGAGTAAGCGGGGAAGGGGTTCTAGCAACAGGGCCGGAAGCCTGTAAGAGAAGCGCATGAGGGTACTTCAATCATGGACCGCGAGCTCGGTTCTACTATAGTAGCGGAGGAGGAGGGAGAGAACGGAGTGCACAAGCAGTTCTGGCGCTAGGTCACTTCTGGGGGCTGGACTGGGTCGAAACCGCGGATCAGTCTGGAAGGTGGTGAGGCCACAAACAATTGCATTGCAATCGCTCGTGGCCAGAGTGGTTGCAACGCAAGGGCTTGAGGTTTAAATTGTTGAAGTGCAATGATTTGTCGCTTGCTTCGTTGCAACGCAATCGTTGTTGCAATGCACACGTCTAGTGACTTTCGACACGTCACTACCAACTTACAAACGACTGCGCTCCCGGGTTGTCTATGTTGCAAAACACTCAAACGATGGCGCAATCGTCGGTGTACAATGGTTTGGCCAGTAGCCTCTCGAGGTTGTAACCGTTTGGCCGGTCCAAAGCTGCACTTTGCCGACCGCCGGGTTCGCCGAACATACGCTTGCGGTTTTGCCGGCGCGTGGTGCGACGCATGGCATCTGCTCGCAATGTGCTTCATGCGAACGAATGCGTCCCACACTTGCGACATGCACTCCCAATGGCCGCGGGAGCATTGGGTCGTGTCCCGAGCAGTGGCGATGCCATCAGGCCAGCTAGAGCAGTATTCTTGCTAGGCGCTGTGACAACCTTTGCGCTGCTGGGCCCCCGAATTTGCTCCCGACCCTTTTGCTAAAAACCCTTGGGCGTTATTCAGGCCCTCGAGACCCAGAAATTCGAGGTCATGATCTTCTCCGTGCGCAGCCCCCCCGACATCTTGACCCTTTCACAGCGACCGGATTTTCGTCCCCGCTCGTTCTCTGACGGCCGCGAAGCCCGCAAACTGCCCCGGAGGTTGAAGAAGGAAACCTTTCGTCTTGTGTTTTCTCCCAAGACGGCGAAGGCCCTAGGTCATCCGAGAGAGAACGCGTTTCGTGGACGCCTGCCAAGAAAAAGACACCTTGACACGTTGGAACCTGGAGGTTAAAGAAGGAAACTTTTCGTCTTGTGTTTTCTCCCAAGACGCTGGAGGCCCTAGGTCATCTGAGAGAGAGAACGCGTTTCGTGGACGCCTGCCAAGAACAAGACACCTTGACACGTTGGGACCTGGGGGGGGGGGGGGGGGGCGAGCCCTAACGCGTTGAGCACCCTGGAGAACTGCTTCCCCCCCCCCGGGTCGAACTCCCCCCCCCCCCCTCCAGCGTCCACAGAGCGCCTTTTTGTGGACGCCTGCCAGGAAAAAGACACCCTGACACATTAAAACCTGGGGGGGGAGGGAGGCGAGCCCTAACACGTTGAGCACCCTGGAGAACTGCCCCCCCCCGTTGCGAACTCCCCCCCACCCCTTCCAGCGTCCACAGAGCGCGCCCTTTTCTCGCCTGGCTTTGAGTCGGGCATATCCCTCTACAGGAGGAATACTCAAAAACAGTAAATCAAAAGATATGTTGAAATATTATTTCGATTATTCTTGGATTATTGTTGGATTGTTGTCAATTACAATCAAAAGGATCTTTCGATTATCCTTTCAATTACAGTCGATTATTCTTGGATTATTCTTTCAATTACAGTCAAAAGGATCTTTCGATTATTCTTGGACTATTGTTGAACATGTTTCAGGCATGTTTCCTCTTTCGTTCAAAATCCGCCTGTCGGAGGACAGGCCCGACCTAAGCCTAGCTTCGCGTATCGCGCCCCGCGAGGCGCGGCGGCGAGATCCCTTGGTCTTCAGTTATAGGCTCAGCCCAGGGATTGTGGTCTTTATGTGCTGTTGTTTGCCCTCTGGAGGCCCTGGTCGGGCGGGGCTCGTCGGAGGGCCTACATCTACACCTGCACCTGCACCTGCACCTACACTTGCACCTACGCCTACGCCTACACCTACACCTGCAGCTGCAGCTGCGCCTGCACCTGCACCTGCTGCACCTATACCGACACCTGCACCTGCACCTGCACCTGCTCCTACACCTACGCCTACATCTGCACCTGCACCTGCACCTACACCTACACCTGCACCTGCACCTATGCCTACACCTGCACCTGCACCTGCACCTGCACCTACACCTACACCTAGACCTACATCTGCACCCACACCTACACCTGCACATGCACCACGCCGAGCCTGGGCCAACTCAGGGTCGGTGCAGATGCCTTCCTGCCCAATCCAGGAGGGCGTGTACACCGATCCTGGGCCCAGGATGGGCCTGGCCAGGATCGGTGTAGGTGTGTGCTTGGCGCCCCCCGAGCTGGGACCGGGACCCAGCCGTGCTCGCGCCAGGGAGAGGTCAGGACGGCAGGTGTCTGGCCGTGGGTCGGCCTCGGGGCGGCCTCGCTGGGCCCGGGCTGGGGTAGGGTGCCACATGTGAACCCTACCCCTACCCCCCACGATTTCTGAGGGGGAGGGTGGGGTTCACTTCGCTCGGGAGCTCCCGAACGAAGTGAACCCCACCCTCCCCTTCAGAAATCGTGGGGGGTAGGGGTAGGGTTCACATGTGGCCCCCTATGGGGGCCGTCAGCAAACAGTTCAGCTCAGGAATGAGTCGAGTCGTACGGGGACCCCGGGCATCGCATGTCTGGGGGCGGCGGGGCGAGCGCTCGCGGGCGGGCGGGCGTGGGGGGCATCTTCCAGGGGTCTTCCTCGGACGTCAGGTGGCGTTGCGTCGCAGGCCCCTCCTGATGCCTGCTGTCTCTGCAGCCAGCTGCCAAGAACTCGAAGAGCATGCTGCTAGAATCTTTGGCTCCCCACGGCTCCGCTGGCTCGCTGGGCGATACAGAACCCTCGGGACCTAAGCTACCCTGGGCCAGATCCTATAGCAGGGCCTACCCCCTAGGCCCTAGGGTAGCCTAAGGAAGCCCCACCCCAGGTGCCTAGTGGTAGGCCTAGGGTAGACCTAAGGGTAGACCCTGGAGGTAGGCCTGGGGTAGGCCTTACAGGTAGGCCTTACAGGTAGGCCCTAGGGGTAAGCCTTAGATAAGCCTAGGGGTAGGCCTTGTCATCAGTGGACTAACTTGCTGTGAGAATTTACCGTGGGCGGCTGGAACGTTCGCGCTCGATGAAAGCGCATGGCTGCATTCCACGCCGTGTGCGGCTGGAACGCTCGCGCTGGTAAAAACGCACGGCTGGAACCCACGCCGTGCGCGGCTGGAACGCTCGCGCTCGGTAAAAGTGCATGTCTGGAACCCGCGCCGCGGGCGGCTGGATCGCTTCCGCTCGTCAGAAGTGCATGGCTGGAACCCATTCCGTGTGCTGGAACGCTCGCGCTAGGTAAAAATGCATGGCTGGAGCCCACGCCGCGGGCGGCTGGAATGCTCTCGCGCAGCTGGAACCAGCACCGTGGGCAGCTGCAACACTCGCGCCGTGTAAAGATCAAAGGCTGGAACTGACAACGCGGGCGGCTGGAACACTTTCCCTCGTGAATTTGAAGCCTGGAACCTCACCAGGCTCAGGGTTGATTAGATATATATATATATATATATATATATATATATATTTGTATATATATATATAAAGTAATGATCATTGATATTAATATAAACATCACTGCAACTACAGATATAAATATACACATAGGCACCAGGGGCGAGGGTCCTAGCATTGCATCCGCGCCCCGCTCCCAAACTGTGTCAGCCCGCACGCTCGTCTGTCGGCCAATCGGTCCGTCGGTCGTCGTCGTCGTCGTCGTCGTCTCGGTTGGTCGGTCGGTCGGTCCGTCGGTCGATCGGTCGTCGTCGGTCGTCGTCATTTCGGTCGGTCGGTCGGTCGGTCGTTCGGTCCCGTCGTCGGTCGTCGGTCGGTCAGTCGTCGTCGGTCGTCGTCGTCTCGGTCATCGGTCGTCGATCCACAGCCGGAATCCGCCCACGCCAATGGCGCGCTCTGAAAGCGCGCCACTGGAGCCAAAGCGGCTACGGATGCAATGAGGTTGAGAACAAGACGTTGGACCCAAAATCTGCCCGACATGATAAGATTGAAAATTCACTACCAACAACAGTCCACTGACTGTAGGGGTAGGCCTAAGGTAGGCCTAGGGGTAGGCCATAGGGGTAGGACTATAGGATGGCCTAAGGGTAAGCCTTAGAGGTAGGCCCAGGGGTAGGCCTACGGGTAGGCCCTAGGAGTAGGCCTAGCCTGAGGAATCTACAAGCGCGGAACGGCAGGGGTCCAGGGGGGGGAGGGTACGAGGAAGGGAAGAGGGAGTGAACGGAGGGGCCAGGGGTGAGGCGGGGCGAAGGAGAGGGAGAGGAGGGAAGGAGGAAGGGGGATACGGAGTAACTTGTCCCACCGCCACGCCCCCTCCACTCCTTCCCTCCCTGCCCTCTCTCCTGCCGTCCCTATCTTCCTCCAGCCCTTCCTTCCCCTCCCCCCCCAACTCCACCCACCCAACCGAGGTCGCCTCGGGCCCGCGGGTATAATTGGGCTGCGCCTTGAACTTCGCGGTGAAAGCCCTGCGAGTAGTGATGTCGTAGCTGAATTGGGTGTTCTGGCCCCCGCCCATCTGAATCTCAAGCATGCGCATGAGCATACGCTTGACGCATACGCACCTACATACATACATACATACATACATACATACATACATGCATGCATGCATACATACATACATACATGCATACATACAGACAGAAAGACAGGCAGGCAGACCGACAGACAGACAGACAGACATGCATACAAACATGCATGTATGCATACCGACAGACAGAAACACAGACATACAGGCATACATACAGACATACAAACATACATATATGCATACAGACATACTGACATACGGACATAGCGGAATACAGCCATACATACATACATACATACATGCATGCATACCTGAATACCTACATACCTACATACTGACGTACACTATCTACATGTGTACGTACGTGTGTACGCACACGCATACACACCTATAATGGAATTATGTAACTTTATGTGTGTATCTACATGCAGGCATAACGGCATGCATGTATGCATACATAAATGCGTACATACACACATACATGCATACATGCATGCACGCATGCATGCATGAACGCCTGCATGCATACACACACATACATGCATACATGCATACATGCATACATGCATACATGCATACACACGCATGCATGCATGCATACCTGCATGCATGCAAGCATGCATACATGTACATACATACATGCATGCGTACCTATCCACAGGTATGCATGCATACATACATGCATACATACGTACGTACATGCATGCATGCATACATACACACACATAAACACACACACACACGTACGCACACAGATACACACATACATGCATACATACATACAGCTATATACATGCATACATGCATACATACATAAGTACAAACATGCATGCAAATTTGCATGCATCCATACATACATGCGTACATGCATACATGCATGAGACAGCCGAGGGGGAACTCGGCAGAAGCATCGCGGCCAAGACTGCCCCGAGACCCCTACCGTGCCCCCGACCAAACACCTCAGAGGTTCCCGGGAGGCCCCGTAGAAGCCCCCAAGAAGGCTCCGAGATGTTTTCAAGAGGGAGGCTGGAGGAGGCAGGAGGAGGAAGGAGGGGAGGAGGAACAAGGAGGGGGGCAGGAGGAATGTTTGACATCAGCGTGACAATGGCCAGCAAGCTGGAACTGTGTGGCCACACCCATGTCCACCTGAGCAGACTGGTGAGGCCAGCTCGCATGCGTCAGTGACCCTGACACCTGCGAGGCACTGTAGTGATTTAAATCATGACTCAAAACCACCTCACACGGTGAGGTCTTGAACACCGTCGGGGTCCACCTTCAGACTAAAACTGTAGCTGGGGCTGAGCCCGCGGAGCACACGGCGCCAGAGACATTTCTTGTGAGCGGCCATCTGCTGCTCACATCTGCCTCTGAGGCTTGACTGCTTGAGCGCGCCAGGCCCGACATAGGCCGCGCACCGTGTGCAGATGTGCAGCACATCGCCACTGCCACATGACAGGCCGACAACAAAATGACATTGTCTCTCCATCCCGCGAAATCCCAGCCACCACGGATACCCGAGCAACCAGACGCAGGGGGGCGGAGCTGAGACCGAGAGGCCTTAAGACACTGCAGTGCCAGCGATTCGCTTTGAACTCGCAAGCGTGCTTAGGGCGGTCAGGGTGCCCCACTCGGGCCCGCCCGTCTGGCACATACCCCACATATTTAAAATCTAGCCTCGGCCAACGGGGGGGGGAAAAAAAACGCCGCGGCCAAGGTGCAGACTGCGCTTGCTATCAGCAGCATGTTGTCCAACTCTTGCATCTTGCATCTGCTCGGCCGCAACGGCCGCGTGGAGGCGGACCCCAGCTTTCGCGGCTTGGTCGGCTTGAAAATTCCCTCTCCGAAGCCTCATCTCGCACTCTGGGATCCCCTGTTCGTCCAGGGACAGCGTGCCTTGACCTTGCTAACAGACTGGATGAGATGCGACACCCGTTGCCCGTGCAACAGGAAGCCCGCACGAGGCCTCTGATAGTACATTTGGTCACCCAGGGGTCTGTTCGCCTGCACATGCACATTCGCACAGCCAGTGTACATGTCACATAGGCTTTCGACGATTTGACTAGCACACCCGAAAGCAGCAAACTCCCCCGCCTGGGACGTTTGTGGCAGGTCGGCGTACACCGTGCCAAAAACACGCCCCGTGAACCTGAAAGCCCGATCGAAAACCGCAAGACCCCAGGCCGCCCAATTCAGTTCGGGCACGACACTTTTGGCACAACTGCCGTCCAGGAACAGATCCCCCATCACTAACTGCTCCTCTTCCGTGACCTCCTCCTCCCATTGCCACGCGGTCTTGCACTCCCGATCAGGTCTGGACCAGAAGTCGCCAGGGCGAAGGAAAACAGCACGAGTTGGCAGCAGCCGATCCTGAGGGGTGTCCTCATCCATGCTGTCCACATGCTGTTGGCACTTCCTCGAGGAGATCTCTGCGCGCCCCTCCGCGCACGCCGAGCAATGCCAAAGGCGACGCAAGGGCGCGCCTGGTCCTCGTCGGCAAAGATGACACTCAACAGACTCTAGCTGGCATCCCAGGCTCCGCGCGCGCACTCTCGCCCAGCTAGCGCCGCAGCCGATGATGCGGATAGCCGGCTTGCCCGACGGGGAAGCCCCAATCGAACGCAGCGCCCGCGCGCGCACATCGCAGCGCAATCTGGGCGCCACCAGGACCGATTTTTGGGCCGCGCCCCCCCCCCCCAGGCTCTGAAGGACAGCTTGACGCAACAGGATCTTCAGAGGCCCTGGACTCACCTCCGCGAGGATCAGCTTTTCCCCGAAATCGCTTTCCATCGTGACCCAATCTAAGGACTCCCACTGGATCCTCTTAAGACACATGACCATCGCTGAGAAAGGCCCCGTGACATCTCTCCAAGAAGTCGGCCCTCGCTTCGTGAAAAAATTCGCCGGCCCAACGGGCCAGGGCGTGCTAAGATCTCCGGTGCCTGGTTAACAGTATTTCTAGTTCGCGCGCGCGGGGCGGCCCCTGGGGGTCCCCGGACGAAAAGTACCCCGGCAAGGTCCCGGCAAGTCCCCGGCAAGGTCGGGCCAGAGATGCCGGAGCCCTGTTACAGGGCCCCAGGACGGGCCAAGAGGTCCCCAAGAAGCCTCCAAGACGGTCCAAGAGGGCCCCGAGACGGCCAAAGATCGCCCGAAGACGCCCAACAGGGCCCCAAGACAGCCCAAGAGGCCTCCAAGACGCCCCAAGGGCCTTCCAAGAGGCCTCCGAAGAGGGCCCCAAGAGGCCAAAATCGTTGATTTTCATTGTTTTTTTTCGATGTTTTTTGCGTTCTGGCTTTTTCGGCTTCCGGACGCTCCAAGACGGCCCAAGAGGCCCCCAAGACCGCTCCAAGACGGCCCACGAGGCTCCCAAGACGGCCCCGGAACGGCCCAGGAGGGCCCCCAAGACGGCCCAAGTGCCGCCCAAGACGGACCAAGAGGCCCCAAGACGGGCCCAAGAGGGGCTCAAGAGGGGAACCGAGAACTGAAAAATCGAGCCCTCCGCCCCAGAAGGCGCCCAGGAGGCCCCAAAAAGGCCCCAAGAGGCCCCCAAGAGGCCCCCAAGACGCTCCAAGAGGCGCCCAAGAGGCCCAAAAGAGGCCCCAAGAGGCCCCAAAACGGCCCCCAAGAGGCCCCAAAACTCGGCTAGCCCACAACGGTGCGACAATATGGGCCGGCGGAATGAGCGAAGCGATTAGATATACTCCGCGACCCACGAAGCTCGACAAGCTGAAACACCATCGGCACGCACCTGAGTGGGCACACCAGAGCTCATTAGCATACCTGACAAGGGGAGCCACCGCCGCAAGCCACGTGGGCTCGTAATCTAAGACAAGCAGGCTTGTGAGCGACCTCCCTGTACAATTGAGCACCATGACAAAGCCAGCCTGCTGGCGGATCCCATGGAGCCCCCCATCCGGGATCCCCGGGACCTCGGAGCCGTACAGAACACCATGGGGGGCGGGGGGGCGACACCCAGATTTTCTCGGCGCGGCAAGGGATCTGTTGTCATGGCACGGACCTTCCTCGTCTTGGCCTACAGGTTGGCCACGCGAATCTTGAGCTCGGTCTCTCCGAGGGCCTTCCTAACACAGGCCTTCCGCCTTGACCTGCCCGCAGTGAAATCGACGCTCAGGTCCGCCACGCTGTCGGCCGAGGGCCCATCACGATCTCCCAGGAACACGCGAAGCTGCTTAGCGACCATGCCCTCCGAGCAGACAAGACCCCCTTGACCAGCCCTTGGAGGGGGAAATCGAGCAGCCGCACTCGTGGACCAGCGGCTGCTCCAACTGCCTGGAACCTTACTTGGTACCTGACAAAACTTCACCCGGCGGCCCCGTGGAATCCAGACCCGAATCATCAAAAACCTGCGCAAGCACCACCACCCTGGGAAGCTCGAGCTCACAGAGCGGCCCCAGGAGGAAAACACGCACCAGAGAAGTGGCCATGGAGCAGCCCGCCACCACTCCGCGACTGGCGAAAAACGGGCCTGCCACCGCAGAGGCCATGCTGACGAAACGTCCACAGTTGCAGACAAATACGCAAAGCTGGGCGATGGGGCGGGGAAACCAAACCTTTTGGGTCCCAAAGCTAACCTTGCATGCGAAGAGTTCTCGTAAGCTTGGTCATATCCCACAAAAACACGGCCGAGGTTTCACCCTTCCTAGCACCGATGTCAGCACGAGCCGCCCGCCGCCAGACCGCGCCCGCAGCAGGCGCGGAAGAACTGCCAGAGAAAAAGCCGCGCGCATTCCTAGCCCCCCACTCCACAGCCAGCTCCCTTCTGCATGTCCCCCACAAGCTGAACACAGGCGCGAGCAACCCGATGGGACGGCATCCCCCCGTGGCTTTAGATAAGAGCACAACCTCGACAATCTGGGGCTGGCGCGGCAGGCTGGAGAGCGCTCCGAAGATGGCGAAAAGGAGGCTCACAACCCAAAGGGCGGACTCGAACAGCCACGAGCAGCGCCCCGTGCGAAATCCATCCACAGCGCGGGCCATCGACCGAATGCGATCGACCGAGGCCAAGGGCAGGGGCTGACACGCACCTTCAAACACACGCTCTGGGGCGCCCGAAGTCTCCTCCCAGATCTCGGCCCAACTGGAGGCCCCCCCTTTTCAAGAGACTGAGCGGGCCCGAGAGCATGAGGCCCCCTGGCCGACAGGGCGGCGGCGGGCTTCCAACCCGGTCCCCCCCCCCCCCCCCAGGAAGCCAGGGAGGCCAGAAGGGCACCCCCCTCCTCACTGCGGGCCTCGGACTGGAGCTCGGCGACACATTGATGCGGTGGCCCCAGCGAGTCCGCGGCGGCCTCCAGCCACTCGCACGTGCCAAGGAGTGAACTGCACTCTTCGTGGCTGCCGACAGCCACGGGACAGGCTCGGACCAGATGCTGGGCCGCGCTGAGATACTCAACCCAACCATCCGAGCTGACGTCGGTCACGGCACGGGGCGGCATCAAGATGTTCACCTTGGTCTTGAGGGCCCCCAGATACTCCCCCATGAACTCAATCACCAAGTCCTGAAGTCTGCGCGCAACACACTTGCCCGCGAACATCTCGGGGCGTCTGACTGAAAGTGGGGATTGATCCTTGATAATCGGAACCCAGTGTAACCGCGCTGACTTACTGCGGGCGCCAACGCAGGGCAGCGTCGTCAGAGCTATATCGCACAACTCCTCCTCGGCCCGATTGGCCCACTGACCGTAGACCCAATCAAGCACGCCCTGCGCCAACGAGAGCCACCCCGCGAGGGTCGCCCCGAGGCGCCCCTCAGCAGCGCCAACTACACCGCTCCAGCCAGGCGGCCCCCGTCCGACCCCGATCGGCCTGCCCTTAGGAATCGGCGGGGGCTCGCGAAAAGTCAGCGCGCACAGCTGCGCCAGCCTGGGAAAAAAACTAAAGATGCACTGGATTGTGCGGCGGCAGCTGCGCCACCTGCACAGCACTCGTCTCCTGGGTGCCCTTCGCAATGCCACCCGTGCACGCGAAATAACCAGGAAACTCAGACCACCGAAGGACCTGCAAGTCCCCGAGCCAATAGGTTTTATCAGAGATCCTTCGAGCTTTTCAGGGAAACCCGACCCCAGAAGCATATCAGGAAGCCTGTCCCGGCCCCATCCAAAGACAGCCCGGCGCCCCGACATCCCCCCAGTTGCCCCCGCAGCACTCAGGACGTCGAGGCCCCTGCTGGACAGACCCCCACCGACGCAGAGGTAGGCCGACAGGACCAGAAACGGCGCGCCCCCAGGGAGGTGGGCCAAGGCGTCGACAAGCCCCCCAGCGCAAAGAGAGGCACCCCAAAAAGGCTCGCGCAGGCCCAGGAAGTTCCTCGCGAGCACACCTGCCCCCCCCCCAGAGACATCATCGCCGTGACCCGCCGCAGCGAAGGCAAGCGCGGCACCCCGGCCATGCCGACTGCGCCACGAGGTAGCCTCCATCAGAGCCGCGGGGTTCATGGCGCGGTGTTCTTGCAGGCATATGGCACGAGCCGCGGCGCTGCGCAGCCATTCCTTGAAAGAGCTCCAGCACGCGGCGTCGCAGCTTTCAATGGCGAGACCGAAACCTGCTGGAGCGGGCGGCCCCGGAGGGGGGGCCTGCAGAAAATCGAACGAGCTGGCGGTTCCAATGAGGCCGTGGACCCCTCGGTGACCGACAGCACAGGCCGAACTGACATCCAACAGAGGAGAGGGGGGCGCGCCGCCGCCGGCTCCCCCCTCGGGCGGCGACCACTGGCTCAGTCTTGCAGACAGCGATCGCCGACGCCCCGCTCGAACAAGGTTCGGAGGTCGATCCGGCGCCGGGTGGGGGCGTAGAGGGGCTGGGCAGCCGACTGGCCACAGCCCCTGCCGGCGAAAGGCATCACCAGGCAGGGCCCCAGCCTCGGGCGGCGACCTCGGCATCGCAGCCTTGCGCGCCGAGGCCGCCGACGCCCCAGACGATCAGGATTCGGAATCGATCCTGAAGCGGGGACGAGGAGGGACAACTAAGCAAAAACTCGCCAAGTCGGCACCGTCAGGCCGGGCGCCACCAAAAGGCGAACGGCCCCTCTTGACACCGCGCAGCTGGCGATGCTCAGGAGATCGTTGCCCCATAACAGACGTCGACGATGAGGTCGACCTTGACAAGGATGATGCCTGAATAGATTGTGCACTGCACGCCTGCGGTCTCGACTGAAGCCCAGCCTCGGCCACATCACAGCAACTGAAACGAACGCGGCAACCCCTGGAGACGCTACGATCATCTCTGCCACGCTTCACGGCGCCTCTGGCAATGCAACCCCAACTTTGGGCCCTGGCTAGGGGAACCCTTGCCAGCACCCCTCGCAGCCGCAGCAGCCGCCGCAGCTGCTTTGGCCTCGCTCTTGACCCGCACACTGTCTTCGCCACCCCCTGCGGCTCCTGGCCGAGCTGCCGCCGTCGCCCGCCTGCCCGCCTGTGGGTCAGCAAGCCCAGGAGGTGGCACTCCGCTCTCGCCCTCGCCCTCTTCGTCCTCGACCACAGCGACGTCCGTTCCATCAGCAGCGCGCCTCTTCTTCGCGGCCAGCCTCTCCTGCAGCGCCTTGTGCTCCGCCTGCAGGCACTCGCCCTTCTGGCCGACCTCTCCGAAGAAGTTGCCCGCCAGCTCCCTGAACGCCTTGAGTATCTGCATATAGCGCTCCAAAGCTTCGGGCCCGAGCACCTCGAACTCCGCGAAGTCGAAGAGCCCGTCGTCGCCGAGGTCGATGTCGTCCACTTCGCCGCCCATGGGCTTCGACGGCGACAATCGGATGGGCTGGGAGCTGTCGACCGCGGCCACGTGGCCAGCCGTCGCCGCAGAAGCGCCCACCCCCGCGGCAACATCCGCCACCGCCTACTCGCATTCGCCCTCAGCGGCCCCAAGCTCCGCGACCAGTTCCGCGACGAGCTGGCGTTGCGCCTCCACCTGCTCGAGCAGGCCAGTGAGCGTCGCACTCTCCGTCTGCAACTTTCCCTTTGCTTTGCGGACACGAGCATGGGCTTTGTTGGCACGGAGCTGGACTGGCCTCTTGTCTTCGGCAGGCTTGCCGACCTGGCCGGGGCGCTGCCTGCACTTGTTTGCAGTGGCCTCGTCACCCGACTTCTCCGCCAGTGTGACCATGGAGCGCAGCTCCTCGTTGGACAAAGAGGTGGGAGCAGCGGGCCGGGTCTTGGCGCGAATGGCCGCGCGGTACTTTTCGGCCAACTTCTTGCCTCCATTGCCCTCTGCGAAAACCACCAACGCCTGCATGACATCCACCCCCTGGCTGCCATCATGCTGGTCAGGAGCACCAGCCCCGCCGTGAGGCGGCCTCCCGCGCGCCCATGGCGGCTTGTCCGGCCCGCCATGGCGTTCCTTGCCGCAGTGCGTGCACCACCGTCAGTGCGCTTGGTTCTTGGCACAGCGGCTGTCGGGCTGGGTGCATCGCCAGAACTCCCCTCCTTCCCATGGCGCGCGGGAGGGAGCTCTGGATGGCGGCCCCGAGCCGCTGCGGCCGCCCTTGCCGCCGCTGCCAGCACTCTTGCCCATGCTGGCGAGGTGGCCGTCTCCGTGGTGGCGACTCGGGAGTTGCCTGGCGAGCTCCACTGCGAGGATGCTGCGGGCACTGGCCCGCCTCCACCGCAGCCACCTGTGCGAGGCGGGGGAAGGCTGTCTATCGCGGCGCGTTCCGAGAGTCGTGACGCCCTCCGCCTAACGGGCAGAAGGCTGAGGGCTCATGCAAGACGGGCCCCCTGTGGCCCGCGGGTCTGAGCCAGTCTGGGGGGCAGGAGGAAGGATGAAAGAGGCGAAGGATGAGAACGAGGCTAAGGACAAGAAGAGGGGGCCCAAGACCCGCATTGGGCTGAAGACTCTGACACAACACTGAACTCGAATGGAATCAAATCGCCACCGCCTCCACTTCTGCGCCGCTGCGCTGGCGCTGGAAGGGGTTGTCGCAGGCAGCTGGATATATGGCAGCGTGCTCGCATGCACACGTGCATCCGCACATGTATGCACGCATACATGCATGCAAACACTTTTTACGTCGCATCGCGGCAGAAGCAGTCTGCACGCGTGCTCGAGCGGGCTGGAAGGATTCATACATTCACACGCCAGCGCGCAAACGTGCAAGCACGCATCACAACACATCAAATTGCATTATATTGCACAGCTATGCATTGCAGCATGTTTGACACAACTACATCGAATTACTTCCCATCTGACAACACTTCATCACGACACTGCACGAGACAGCACATCAGAGAGAGCCAGCGTGGACCCCAAAGAGTAATTATTGCATTGTGGATGTCAAGCTATGTGGTGCAAGCTAGGTGGTGCAAGCTACGAGGTGCAGCATGCGCAGTGCAAGCTAGAGGCAGCAAAGAAGCGGCAACGGGCGGCAACGCGGCAAAACCACGCTGGACCCACCCAGCGCACGAGGCGGCATAAAGGAGCGGCAAAGGGCGCCAGCGTGACGAAACCTCGCCAGACCCACCCACCGCATGAGTCGAAAACGAGGCGGCAAAAGGGCGGCAACGTGGCGAAACCTCGCCAGATCCACCCAGCGCACGACGGTGGCAACGAGGCGGCATTGAGCGGCAACATGGCGAGACCTCGCCATACCCACCAAGCGCAGAGACGACAAAGAGGCGGCAACGGGCGGCAACGCGGCGAAACCTCGCTGGACCCACCCAGCGCACGAGGTGGAAACAAAGCGGCAACGGGCGGCAACGCGGCAAAGACCCGCAAGCCCCACCATGCGCACGAGGCAGAAACGAGGCAGCAACGGACGGCAACGTGGCGAACCCTCGCCAGACCCACCCACCGCACGAGGCGGCAACGAGGCGGCAACGGGCGGCAACGTGGCGAAATCTCGCCAGACCCACCCAGTACACGAGGCGGCAATGAGGCGACAACGAGACGGCAACGAACGGTAACATGGCGAATACTCGTTGTTGGGTCCGCGGACGCAAGCGAGCAGGCGCCAGTCGAGCAAACAACACGGCGAAAACCTCGCCAGACCCACCCAGCGCACGAGGCGGCATTGGGCGACAATATGGCCAAACCTCGCCCGACCCACACAGCGCACGAGGCGAAAATGAGGCAGAAAAGAAGCGGCAAAGGGCGGCAACGTGCCGAAACCTCGCCAGACCCACCCAGCGCATGAGGCGAAAACGAGGCGGCAACGGGCAACCACGCGGCGAAACCTCGCTAGACCCAACCGAATCTTCACGGAGACAGCACTGGGGAGGAAAGCAAAAAAAAACTCGATGCCCGAATCTCGATCCTCCTCCTCCTCTTCCTCCTCCTCCTCCTCCTCCTCCTCCTTCTCCTTTTCCTCCTCCTCCGCGATTTCCAGGCGTCGTCGGTCCTTCGTCGCTGGATCTGTCCCCGGGTGTGTCCTGGCAAAAAATCTCGAAGCAGGTCCAACCGCGGCAACGAGGGCGCCCCAGGGCGGGGGGGGTATGACGTAACGCCCCCCCCCACCACCGTGTGGTTCGCACCACAGCCGCGCCCGCGCGCACGACGCGACAAGCGACGAGCGACGAGCGACGACGACGACGACGACGACGATAGCAGAATGTAGGCGGCGATCTGCCCCAGTGCGCTTGTGTACACCACAACGATCGCATGCACCACAGCGCGCGTGTACACCACAGCGCTTGCGTACACCGGAACAACCGTGTGCAACGCAGCGCCTGTGTACACCACAATGTTTGCGTAAAGTACAGCGCCGGTGTACATTTGTACACCGCAGCAACCATGTGCAACACCGCGCCTGTGTACACCGCAATGCTTGCGTGCACCGCAGCGCGTGTGCACGCCACTGCGCCTGTCTACACCACAGCATCCGCGTGCAACACAGCGCTAGTATACACCACAGTGCCTGCGTGCATTGGACAGATAAAAGGAGCCTGTACGTGGGGATCTGCTGCGGAAAACTAATAAACGCCACGCCAGGAAACCGCTGATCATCGAATGCGACGTTCTTCCCGCCTCTCTCCGCCTCCACCTCCACCTCCTCCTCCTCCTCCTCCTCCTCCTTCTCCTCGTCCTCCTCCTCCTCCTCCTCCTCCTCCTCCTCCTCCTCCTCCTCCTCCTCCTCCTCCTCCTTACCCCCTGTCGTGCGGGTCGGCACTACAGCGCACGTGCGCATCTCAGCGTACATTGCAAAATGGTCTACTGAATCGGTCCACTTGGCTCTCGGACGGCCAATTTAGCTG